AGTGGTTCTATGGACTCATAGCTGATCTGCTATTAATAATCAGATATTTCACACATATCAGCATTTCAGTTATATAAACAGGACAGTGCTGTTGATGGTCTCACTGCAGCTGCACTGGCAGTTCATATTTGAAAAGAATGCAAATGACAAATGGTTTAACTCAGATGGGCTACACTCTTCAAAAGATGGCTGTATATTAAAGGGAATGGTTCTGTTTAGAACCATGAGTTCTATATAGAACCATTTCATGCTTAAATGGTTCTTTGTGTGGTTTCATTGTTCTTCAGATTAATGCAGAATGTGTTATATATGGTTCTGCATAGCACCAAAGGGGTTCTTCTATTGTTACAAGCTTGATATTTATTGGACCACTTAAGCCTGAAATAGTTCTATATAGAACTCTGGTTCTAAATAAAACCCTTCTCTTGACTACAGAACCCTTGAAGAACCATTGCTTTGGGATTGTGGTCAACTAGGCAACTGTTATTTTGTCAAAATAATTATGATAATATTATCGCTCAGCTCTTTTCATAGCTCTATTATTCAGATCACCTGAACATGGTAACGAAGCTAATTAGTTTAATTCCCTGACCCTCAGCTGACCTGTGCCGTGACCAGTTCTCCCGCTGTGGTGTAGCAGCACTGACTGGCCAGTGTGCGGCGCTGGGGAGCAGCTGTGTGAAGAGCTGTGGAGGATGTTAAAGATGACCACTACGACACCGCCCAAATACTGCCTGACCAAACCCATACCCCTCCACCCAAAGAAGAACACGGCCCAACCAAACCTACACCATTAATTGAATTCCCCTCTCCAGGCTCCGCCCACAAACGTGCTCTTTCATAGCTACTGTTGGACAGGCTTTACAGTGCGCTGCTTAAAGTCCATTCACCCCAAAGAGTTCAGGTCAGCAGTTTAAAATGCTCCTCTGCCGAGCTGGACTGTGTTGTTGTAGCTAAAACTAGACAAGTTGACAACAACGACACTACCACTATCTTTAAAATCCCAAAGAACACAGTAGAATATTAAAAACGTCTGTATGATACTAAAGACAAGTTATATTTAACATCCAGCAAAGCTTGAATGAAAAATATCAGAGATAAATATGATAAAACACGACTTAAAAACAGCTGATCAGACCTATCTGAGAACTGTGTGGGCGTGGCTAATGAGCAGCTTGATTGACAGCTCTGTGTCCAACACTCCTAGCCTGCTCCGCCCATCATTATCCAGCTTTTATGTGATGCTAACTAGACGAAAAATTGTCACGAACAGACGTGCAAACGGACAAAACAATCCCCTGAACGAAGGAACAGATGAACAAACAATGTTCGTGGATGGATAAACGAGTGAACGGGCGACAGGCAGCTACCGTCTAGCTCGTTAGCTTTTGTTTATGCTGGGTTAGCTTTAGCTGACTCTGACTCTGAAGCTGTATTGTGTGGGCGGGGCCAGAGACACAGCCTTGTGATTGGTCAGGGGAATGATTACGGAAGCGTTACCCAAGATTAGTTACCTGTTTACATCGAGAAGAGGGAAATATGGTGAAATGTATCGGTCATTTATCGGTCATTGGAACATTATTCAAAGAGTAAACTCAGTACATGTTTCCTGTTTGTCTGCAAGAATGAAATTAACCTAATTAGAAAGAAAACACAGATTGAGGTTCTCTGGGTTTTCGAGCCACTGTGACACTGACTTCTCTATTTTCTCTGCCAGCGTGGGGCAAAAGCAGGTGCTTATGGGTGTTCCTGATATAATATGGCTTGAAGGGAACATGAACCCCATCTCAGTTCTTTTTTAACCTGCCCTCAAACATTTCATCACCCCGCTGTTAAACAAGTGAGCACCCATGGGAGAAGTGGAGGAGGCAGCAGTGAGGAGAGGACTGGTTAGGTTAGCGTCAGTGAGCTAATCGGCTAGCCATGCAGGACATTTTTTAAGAAATTCGAGCATAACGTTCATAACGTGTGAGCTATTGGTTTGCGTGGATATAAACTTTGTGTAAAGCCGTGCTGTAGTGCCTTTCTTTCAGTTCTTGTTAGCTGTGTAGCCTTCAGCATGCTAACCAGCCAGCTAGCAGGAAACAGATGAGGTATTAGCAGTCGTGTAGCAGATGGAGCAGTTTGTAACTTACAGCCCACAAATCAAATATATGGTTTTGAAATGTGACGCATTCTAAAGTAGTTTATAGCTACAGCTTATAAACAGCTATGCCTGCTGTTATTTTCAGGTTTTAAAAGGAAAATGAGTCTTAGTGACACCCTGACACCCTTCACTTAAACCGATTAAGGTAAAGGAACAGCCTCTAAGATGGCGCTGGGGATTCCCCTGAGGAGAAATGCCCAGGCTGAGTGGACGAGGGCTGGTTAAAACCAGTATTGAAGCTGGGAATGTAGGTAAATAGTTAGTTAGCTAGCAAGTAGCATTATGTTGACCGAGAAGCAGTTCCTCCATTTAGCCTTGTGAGAAAGAGGACAACACAGTTCACCCACTGTTTTTCTATTGGCTCAATATTCCAATGAAATTGGCTCTACTGGTTGAATGAATAACCAGCTCTAAATGTAGGTATTGTGATATAAACTCAGTCTGTTCTACAGTTTCTGATTAGGTTGATCTAAAGAGTTCTCTAAAGCTGGTCCAACCTCACAACAGTAGCTATGAAAGAACGCGGAACATGGATAAGGACAGTCACTTCCTTAGCCAGTGTCCCCCTACCTGTCCTAATGATGCCTAACCAAACCTACACCTACACTCCATACTCATCTTACTCCTACATATTTCACTTTTTATGTTGTTTTTTCTTTTTTATCCTGTTAGCCCACTTCTGCAGCTGATTGTTTGTGTACTAGATCTACACCGATGCTGTATAGGTGCTCCATTCTGAAGTGTGGGTCATAGACTACGTGGGAAGGGATGGATTTATATAAACCTGTATTTACTTTTGTACTCTTTATGAATCCTTTTGACTGTACGAAGTCACTGGTGCTATCATACCTGTTCGACCACGGTGCTAGGGGAGGCAGCAGCAGCATCACAGGAACAGCTGGAGGAAGACGACTTTTATTTTGTAATAATTGCTTTACTGTATCATGTATTTGTCCTGTTGTGTGTTACTATCCTGTTTTTGTTTGTTTGTTTATGGGCTGTATCTTGTAACTGGTTGGCTCTGTAGAGAAGTTGCTTTTTTGTACTGATCTAGAACCTCAGATCAGCTTAAAAGAGCTACATCGGAGCGGTCATACCTCCACTTCAGGACTGTTTTTAACATGCCCTCGTCATACAAGTGGACACTCGCAAGGCAGTTTTCATTAGGAACGCACTCAGCCAGGCCAGCCTCAGTGAGCTAATTAACCAGCTAATGCAAATGTTTTAGAGCATGATGTAGATAAACTTGTTGAATAATTGCTGTATCTGGCTTAAAGGGGAATTCCACCATTTTTTAAATTTCTGCATAATTCGGAGATGTAAACAGTGATTCAGAGTGGTTTGGTGTGAAATGGTTCAGATGTCTGTACAGTGGTGGTGATAGGAACCAGGGGTCGCCATGACTACAACTCAACTATAGACATTTTATTTACTATCCAGAACCACCAGTGAACCTACACGAGTCCTCTGAGTCTATATGGAATGTTGATGATGGAAAATAGTGGAAAATCTGAAATAATAAGTTTTCCTTGGGGACTATTTTGCCTCACAGCGCCCTGCATGTATCCCTCCACCATGAATGGAGTTTAAGTTCTCAAAACTATCATAAAACAGTGTCTCAGTCATCAGGCAGTGAATTCATATCCATTTCATGTAGGAACTTTCTGTGAGGGAGCTTTTAGAGGTGGATGTCTGGTTCCTATCACCACCACTGTGAACAGTTCTGACTCGGTAAGTTTATCTAGAATGGAGCGTTTCACACCAAACCGCTCTGAATGGCTTTAGATTCTAACCTTTTAATTATGTAGAATTTTTTGAAAGATTGGTGGATTCAGGTTTAGAAAGAGGCCCTTTTTTTGTTGTTGCTAGCTGTGTAGCCCTTAGCCTGCTAACTAGCTAGCTAGCAGAGTAAAATAAAGTACTGCTGCAATCCGTACAAGATAGAGTAGTTTATTTCATAAAGTTTGAACTTATATTAAGTATTTTAAAGCATTTTATCAGCCTTATAAACAGCTTTGTGATTATTTTGTAAAGGAAATTGATTTAGATCACAGTAATATCGCAAGTTCTGCTCCTGAAGTCTGTGTTCATGTTGGCTCGATCCCTCGGCACACCAAGGGCTCATCCAGCAAGCTAGTACAGTGATGATACGGCCCTTAAGGTGGCATCAGGGATCCCCTCGAGAAGAAACAGCGAGGGCAGGTCAGTGAGGGCATATTTAAAACAGCCGTGCAGTGGAGGGCTACTACTATCCAAATGAGGGTGATGTCACAGGAGTGGCCTATCAGCACTGACCTCAACTACCGAGGCATTATCAATACCCAGTAACCATCAATATCCTCCCTCAGTACCAGCAGCAATGCAGCGGACAGCTCAGACAATCCTGACTTGAAATGGGACGCGAATCCTCCCAGAATCCAGCAGTGCAGACGTGAAGAACCGTCACGATTCAACAAGCTACTACTGCTGCTTACAGCTTACACGTCTTAGAACAAGATGCAGATAAACAACTAAATAAATACTTTTATACCACAAACCTGGAATCAGTCTGCTTTTTAGAAACTCACCCTGCACTCTTAAAAAAGAGGGTTCTTTAAGGGTTCCGTAGTAAACAAAATAGTTCTATATAGAACCGTGAACTTCAAAGAACCCTTTGTATGATTAAAGGGGTCTTTGCATTGTGAAACTGTTATGATGTCAAGCGTGTTGCAATAGAAGAACCCTTTTTGGTGCTACACATAGAACCATTGACAGTGGTTCTATGTGGGGCATAGAACCATATACAAAACTCCATCAATCTGAAGAATCTTTTCATCATGCAAACAAACATTTAAGCATGCACATGGTTTTTTGAGTGTTCATGGTTCTATATAGAACCCAAAGGGTTCTTCAGAATGATGGAGAATGTGCTGTAGATGGCTCTAACAGAACATTTTTGAAAAGGGTTCTATACAACACCAAAAAGGATCCTTTTATTGTTACAATGTCAAGCTTGTCACAACAGAACCCTTTTTTGTGCTACATAGAATCATCAACAGCACGTTCTCTATCAATCTGAAGAACCATTTTACCATGCAAAGAACCCTTTAATCATGCACATGGTTCTTTGAGTGTTCATGGTTCTATATAGATCCATTTTCTTTACTAAAGCGTTCTTCAGAATGAAGGAGAACGTGCTGTAGCTGGTTCTATGTAGAACCTTTTTGAAAATTATTCTATTCAGCGTCAAAAAGGGTACTTCTATTGTTATGATGTCAAGCTTGTTACAACAGAAGAACCCTTTTTTGTGCAATATAGAACCATCGACAGCACATTCTCCATCAATCTGAAGAACCATTTCACGATGTAAAATGATGCAAAGGGTTCTTTGAGTGTTCGTGGTTCATTTTCTTGATGAAAGAACCCTGAAGAACCATCTTTTTAAGAGTATTACTACTAATAATAATGATAATCAGTGCAGAACTCACAGTGACTCACAAGGGCTTTTATCTTTTATGTTTAAACAGGTCAAACACACAGGGGTTAAATTCCCAGATCAAACCAAGTCTTAGACTAAAGTAAAACCAAATGAGGCTTCGGCATATAAAAAAATCTAGGACTAGGTTTAATCTTTGGCCACAGAACTAATACAGACCAGACTATAGATAAAATATTAAAATTCAAGTATTCACACTCCATTAACTGAGACTGTGGCACAAACACACAGTGAGAGTAGTGTGTGGTTAACAGAGAGACCAGGTCCCCACACTGACAAAGTACAAACACCAACGAGCTGAACAGACAGTGTGTGTGTGTGTGTGTGTGTGTGTGTGTGCGTGTGTGTGTGTGTGTGTGTGTGTGTGAGTGTATCTGCTGGTAGTTTCTAGAGTGGAGTGCAACGTTTTGTTGTGGTGGGCCAAAAAACACCTTGCTCTAAAATTCAGTCTAAGGATGTTCTTCAAGCCGGTGGTCTCAAAACCTTTAGGGGGGCTGGTGGTCGCGTGGAGGGAGGTTGTGGGTTCCAATCCCAGGACTGACTGGTTGTGCTGTTGGGCAGTCCCCCAGGTGGCGCTGTACTGCTCCCAGACTGGACAGGCACTCTTAAAAATGGTTCTTCAAGGGTTCTTAAAGTGATTCTATAGAGAACCATGGACAATGTTTCTTCAGATTGTTGGAAAATGTGTTGTATATGGTTCTATATCGCACCAAACAGGGTTCTTCTACTGTTGCAAGCTTGACATCGTAAAAATAGAAGAACCTTTTTGGTGCCATTTTCACAAAGGTTCTATATAGAACCATATGCAACACATTCTCAATCTATCTGAAGAACCATTTAAGCAAAAATAGTGCTATATAGAACTCAAGGTCCTACACAGAACCATTCCCTTTACTAAAGGACCCCTGAAGAACCATCTTTTAGAAGAGCACAGTCAACCAGGCATCTGAATGTGTTGTATATGGTTCTATAACAATAACAATAGCAGAACGCTTTTTTGTGCTATGTAGAACAATGTACAACACGTTCTCCATCAATCTGAAGAACCATTTCACCTTGCAAAAAATATTTAAGCAAACATGGTTCTTTGAGTGTTCATGGTTCTATACAGAACCATTGTCTTTACCAAAGAACCCATGAAGAACCATCTTTTTAAGACAAATGCTGTATACAGTCTGAAAGTCTGAGCCACGAGTGAAAATGCATCTATTTTACATTCTTTTCTAAATTAATGCATTTTTAAAAAATTATAAATGATATTATCAGCATAAAACTTGAGTGAAAAGTAGCTGGGAGTGCTGGGATTTGTTGGTGGATTTGCTGTTCTTTGTGTGGTCAGTGTGGAGGAGACATATTACATTCATTCATTATGAGACAGGAACATTAGAACCGTACAGTAAATTACATTAACAAGCACAGTCAGTGTAGAGGAACAGAGCCTTTATCTCTAAAAATTACTGCATCTTCCTAAAAAAGTAAAGTCATATTTCAGACTTAGTGTCAGTTTTGGAGTCATAAACACTGTTTTATAAGCTGGTTTGAAAAAATAATTCAGTTACTTCACATTATCTTCTAAACTACTCCTGAACGTCTGCTTTCAAAATCACTGTAACGTACGCCCTCGTTTCAGAGTGTAGCTATGGCTACGTTCACATTACAAGCCTCGTTGCTCAAATCCGATCTCTCTGACTCGATGGTTCACACTCGTTTAGGTAAGTGACTCAAATCTGTCATTAATGTGATGAACCGGCGTCCTGAAATGACCCTCATGAGCTCATCCTACTCAGTAACGTCACGTGAATGAATCACGTTCATCATCAGCACAAACTAACGAGCAGAACGAGCTTCGCTGAGAAGATAATTAACTCTGATCAGCTCTCAGCTTCATTATTAGAGCGAGACGAAGGAGAAAAAGGTGAGATGAGCTGCTTTTCCACCGTTTACAGGCTTTAACTTCTGTTCGGCGCTGCTGCCATGGTAACGCTGAATGATGGCGCAGTGCAGTGGAGAAAAAGCACATGAATTCCGATCTGAGCGTCACATTAAAGTCACGTGGCCAAGAATCGGATACGTATCCGATCTAGGACCACATACGAAAGTGGCTCAGGTCAGATCAGATCAAATCAGATTTGTGTGTCCACATAGCCCTGAAAACATCAGATCTGAGTCACATTAGGGCAAAAAAATCAGATTTGCGCCACTTGAACCTGGTAATATGAATGTAGCATAAGTGGCTCAGGTCGGATTTGAAAAGATCGGATTTGCGTGTCCACACAGCCCTGAAAACATCAGATCTGAGTCACATTATGGCAAAAAATCGGATTTGTGCCACTTCAACCTGGTAATGTGAACGTAGCCTAAGTGGCTCAGGTCGGATTTGAAAAGATCGGATTTGCGTGTCCACACAGCCCTGAAAACATCAGATCTGAGTCACATTATGGCAAAAAATCTGATTTGCGCCACTTCAACCTGGTAATATGAACGTAGCCTATGGCTGTTTTTGGACTCTCGGACTCTCCGTCTCTTCTTCCCCTGATCAGATGTGGCTCGGATGCCACAGCAGTGCGTGAACATTTGTGTGTGTGTGTGAATTTGGTCCTATAAAGACGCAGGTTCACAATACTAAACCCCAGAGAGCTGAATGAGGACCCGTTTTTGCCTGATTAAACACTCATGATTACAATTCAGAGCAAACACTGGTCCTGGATCAGTATCAGTGCCGTTAGTGTAGGAGAGTCTTTCATTCGGTGTTTCTGCAGCCTCCTCAGCCGCCGGCGCCTCAAGTCTGTAATGCTTCTGTGCTGCAAACGGCATCAGGCGCAGGAGTGATGGTGCCTGAGTTTCTCCTGCAGTGGTTCTGATGCAGGAAGCTGATCTGAGATCAGTGCTGTGTTTACTATGTAGAGTTTGAGACTGTGCCTTCAGTGTATCAGCTCTGTGTCATCAGCGTGTTGGGGATGGAGGGCCTGCAGTGTGTATCAGTTCTGGCTGGTCTGAGATCAGTGGCTCAGTGGTAGTGACCCCAGAGACGGATGCCTGCGCCGTAACTCGTGCTGCAGCTGCTCCTTCAGCGTGGACACCTGCAACACACACACGTTTGATTTTACACTTTCAGGCTTTCAGGACACGGGGTCCTGGGGTATACGGGGTATATATATAGAATTGCTGGATCTTGAAAAGACCAATAGAGATGGTGAACAATTACTGGAAAAAAAATGTCATATTTCATCAGAAGTTAAGTTGTTCTTTCCTTCTACTGTACACAGATACCATTTTGTAGATAGGATCTCTTTCTATATATTATATATACGTTATATATGTAATGGTATGCCCCATTCCTGTATCTTGAACATGAACAGACTAATAGAAATGGTGAACAATTATTTGGAAAAAAATTAAAATTATTAACATTAAAAAAAAATCCATTAGAGGTTAAGAATGTTTCTTTCCTTCTTCTGTAAAGTTGTAAAATCTCCATTTTGGAGATAGGAGGTTTTGCTCTGACAGCCAGGAAATAAGTACAAATATCTAGCAATAATAATATGTTCCTTATTCATGATATATATGTAGGTACCTATATGCCCCATATGTAATTTATATATTCGCACTGTCCAAAAAAACCCTATGTATCTCCATTTTTTAATATTGTTTCCCCACATCATTTGAGCAGAGCAGCTGTTGTGTGTATTGTGTGAAGATTTCAGGACAAATGGAGCAAATTTGCTTGGAATAAAATTCCTTTACGTTAACTTACACTAAAATAAGAGTTTCCTGAGACTAATCCTATTCTTAACCTGAGAAAAAAGAAATGGTTTTGCTCATTCAGACATCTGAAACAAGCTTTTGTAAAAACATGTTTTAAAGTCTTTCTGTTCTGTAGGCTGGAAATGTTTTCCTCTGGTTTTACTGCAGTCTGGACATGTTTGTCCTGAAAACGTGCAAAAAGAGACACACATTCCAAAGACCAGTGATCAAAGGCCAAAGGTCATACAACCAGACACAGCAGTCTGGCCTTTTGACTGGCCAGGTGATTGTAACGATGACCCCCTGCAGCAGGTCTAAGACCAGTTTGGTGCCATGAGGTCCAGTTATGACATTCGTGTACCAAAACTATTCATAGTAAAGTTTTATGTGACCATTTTCCAAATTCTCCTTATTTTTTACAAGTAACCTCTTATTCTCCAGGGTATATTTTGGATTTTCCATCTGAATTTATGCCCAAATCTTAAGGCAAATTATTCAGTAACTGCATGAAATAAATGTAGTGTTGGTGTTTTTTGTAAAAGCTCCACTCAAATGAACAGCAAATGTGTTTTATGAACATAAAGCTATATGCTTACGATTTACTGCTGAAAGCCAGAAATCTTAGACGCGCTTTTTATTTTTTATAAAAAAAATTTTTACAGTGCAGATCACTGAAGAGACTCCACCTGAGATCCAGTTTACAGCTCAGATTTGTGGAAAAATGGGTCAACTTTCAGTAGAAAAGTTCAGCTTCTTTTATTATAAGGGTTTAAAATTACATCACCATCTATTTGACTGGAAAGAAGACAGTTACAGCTCTCATATGACCCCCACCTTTAGAATGTAGCTTATGAAATATGAGTTATGAAGTAAAGAACATGACAAAAGAGTACTATATGTAAATAAGGTCTGTTCTGGTTGGCTGTCCTGTAGTGCACCTCAATCAAAAAACAGGCCAGGCTGAAACACTCCTTATAACTTCAGTGTGAATGGGCGGGGCTAAACTGCTGTAGGTTGAATAGGCGGATATACGGAAATGTATTGTTTTTTGTGACACCACGAAAACAATTCATTTAAAATGAGCTGTTTTGCATCTTAGTTTCCATATATGGCAAAAATTCTGTGTTTAGACTGCAGTCGAATCAGATTAGTTTCTCAAATCAGATCTCTTGAGGCGACTGTCCGTTCTGTTATTTGCGAGTGATCAGACCGGATTTGTGTGTCCAGACGTCACCAGTCTATCTGCATGGGTTGCCGTGCTAACGGCGTTGGCGTCAGTAACTACATAGCTAAGTTGATGATGCGGATTTCAAACACAGATGCTGGACAGATGGAGGAGCAGCATCTCGACCTCCAAACACTAATCTTTGGAGCTCTTCCTGAATCCCAGCACTTCATCACTCTGGATTTGACACCGTCGTCGTTTGTTGAGTTGTGAGTATCATTGAAATCTTATTTGAGCATCCAGACTGAAACACATCTGTAAAAATCCGATTGGAGTCACATTTCAAACCACCTCCAAATGTCGTTTGGAGAAATCTGATTTCATGTGTTTTTTTGCTGTTCAGACTATCAAAAATCGACCTGGATTCAATCTGGATATGACAAAAATCTAATTTCATGTGTTTTTTTTTTTTTTGCTGTTTAGACTATCAAAAACAATCTGGTTACAACCTGGATATGACAAAAATCTGATTTTATGTGTTTTTTGCTGTTCAGACTATCAGAAATCAATCTGAAAACAATCTGGATATGACAAAAATCTAATTTCATGTGGTTTTTTTTGCTGTTTAGACTATCAAAAACAATCTGGATACAACCTGGATATGACAAAAATCTGATTTTATGTGTTTTTTGCTGTTCAGACTATCAGAAATCAATCTGAAAACAATCTGGATATGACAAAAATCTAATTTCATGTGGTTTTTTTTGCTGTTTAGACTATCAAAAACAATCTGGATACAACCTGGATATGACAAAAATCTGATTTTATGTGTTTTTTGCTGTTCAGACTATCAGAAATCAATCTGAAAACAATCTGGATATGACAAAAATCTAATTTCATGTGGTTTTTTTTGCTGTTTAGACTATCAAAAACAATCTGGATACAACCTGGATATGACAAAAATCTGATTTTATGTGTTTTTTGCTGTCCAGACTATAAAAACAACCTGGATATGACAAAAATCTGATTTTATGTGTTTTTTTTTGCTCTTTAGACTAAAATCAATCTGGATACAATCTGGATTTGTAGAAATTAGATCATCTTAAAAAAAATCGAATCATCTTAACAACCACTCTTAGTCAGTTAATTATGCATAATTAAACAAACAGCTGCAGTAAGTCAGTGAATGAGACCTTTTCCTTTGATTTCTCAATGTTTTTGTTTAGTGTGTGAACCTGCAGACAGTCTCTGACAGAAGGAAGAGTCAGTATTGATCCTCTCAGCACTGACGGCTTCAAACAGCTGAAAAACACTGCTGAGCTGGTTTGTGTTTAATATGAGACCTAATATTCACTATAGGGTTTAAATCTGGACTCTGACCGGCCAAAAGCACCAGTAAAAACCATGATATTATGGTCTTGGGCTATTTTGCATGGGAGTGTGTATTTTAAAACCTTAGCATTGTTTACATACTACAAATGAGCATTTGGCACCTTCAGAACCCCCAACCCAAATAAAACACTTCAGCCCATTTGGTCCAAGTGCCCTCCTCATGTGAGTAAGGGCATTTGGTTAGATGATGTTATCTGGTTGTTTCAAAACACATAAATGCATTTAAAACCTATTTCCATATAACTGGAACACATTTCTGGCAGCTTCAGGCCTTCAGTTCATTACACTTACTTTTGGCAAAGCATAAAACTACCTGTAAATGCGAATGAGCTGCTTTGGCTCTGTTCTGCTTTTATAATACAGGCTTATAAACTGTGAATTATAAGAGCTCAGAAATGACTCAGCTCTGTTACTTGTAAAGTAAACGCACGTTTCCGGGCAGCTAGCAGGACAATAATGAGCCACATGTTGGTATGTGATGTTGTTTCTAAGCTTGACACCAACGGCAACACTTTAATTCATTAGATGAGCACGTCCAGCTATAAAACTGCTTCACTTTTAGCATCTACAGCTGAAAAAGCTTCAGATTATCTCTGTTCACAGCAAGACCGACAAATGACACAATGAGTTTATGGTGCTTAATGATGCAGCTATTCTTATGTGAAGAAGACTTTAACCCATTCACTAAATGTAGTTTAGTAAGGAGAACGCTACAGAACGGGTTCTAAAATAGCTTTATTAACAGTCAGATTGGGATTTTCTATTGTTTTGAATAAAATCAATGTTTAATGATGAGTAATAAGGCTCAGTTTTGGCCATATGGATAAATATTGTTAAGTTACTATATGTGGAATGTGACGACTTCCTCTACCTGAACAGCTCAAAGATGATACACTACACTACACTACAGTTAAAGGAGATGTCCACTGATTTTTCAAAAATCCTACGTAATTAAATGGTTAAGATGTAAACAGAGTGATTCAGAGTGGTTTGGTGTGAAACGCTCCGTTCTAGATAAACTTACCGAGTCAGAACTGTTCACAGTGGTGGTGATAGGAACCAGACGTCCACCTCTAAAAGCTCCCTCACAGAAAGTTCCTACATGAAATGGTTATGAATTCACTGCCTGATGACTGAGACACTGTTTTATGATAGTTTAGAGAACTTAAACTCCATTCATGGTGGAGGGATACATGCAGGGCGCTGTGAGGCAAAATAGTCCCCAAAGAAAACTGATTATTTCAGATTTTCCACTATTTTCCATCATCAACATTCCATATAAGACTCGTGTAGGTCCACTGGTGGTTCTGGATAGTAAATAAAATGTCTATATTTGTGATGTAGTCATGGCGACCCCTGGTTCCTATCACCACCACTGTAAAGACGTCTGAACCATTTCGCACCAAACCACTCTGAATAACTGCATCTCAAGGACGGAATTCTTCAGAAATTTTGAAAAAATTGGTGGAATTCTCCTTTAAGTCATATCACCAAAAACAAGCACACATCACATTTATTGTCCACGTCTGTGGAAGAGTGCAGCGAGGTGGAGACTTGGAGCAAATGGGCTGAAGTTTTATTGGCTTGGGGGTCTTTTAAAGCTGGAACACACCTGTCTGTTCTGGGTCAAAACATATATCACTGTCTGTTATATCATATCCTACACTTTTCTTCTGTTTTATTCATATTTTCCTTTTTTCCTTATTTTTATTTTCCCTTTAGGTCAACTTAAACCAGGTGTGTGGTTTCATGTACGAAGTATGGTTATAATTCATTCTTACATGACCACTTTCAATCTCTCTTTATCCCTTACTTTGATTCTGTGCCTTTAAGACTGTATTACGGTCATCACAGAAATCATCACAAATCCAAAACGGTACTGGAGAGCATATAGTACATTTAGGCCCCGTCCCATTTCACCCCTCGCCTCTACCACTTAGCCTTTACCCCTCCGTTTTGTGTGTTCTCGTCTAGGGGTAGGGTGTCCTGATTCTTGTTGAGATAGAGGGGGAGGGTGAAGTGTTGGGGCTACATGACCCTCCAAACTGAGGTTTTTCAGAGACTCCAAACAGAGAGTTATGAGAAAAAAAGAAAAAAAAAACCGGTAAAATGGAGAACAAGAGACCAGAGAAACCCACAAATGTGAGAATTTTCTTTGTTAAAAATTACAATAACCATCATATTATCTTAGTTTAATGTTGTTTCAGTGTATTATGATCCTTTTCTTCGTAACAAGCATTAAAAATCACTAGCAGTCCTGATGTCTCGGTAGCTAGCTAAGTGAATTTCCCGTTCCACCTTAAATAGTCCAGCAGTTCTGAAGCCTGAAGTGTCAGAATGTAACTGCTGCTCCATTTAAGGTGGAACAGGAAAATTTGAACGAGAAGCTGGTGAATATCTGACTTCAGCTTCATATCACTGAAGAATTAGGGGGGAGTGATAATAAATAATTGCCCCCCTCTTTGAAGATCATATGATGCCCTAAATGTAACTAAAGCCCAGCAGTGAGGAGCTGAACTTTACCCTCCTCTGCTGTCACTGCAGACTGGCAGGGTCGCCTACAGAGCAGCGCTGGCAGCTGTTAATGAAGTGATGCTGTTTTTATTTGAGGGTTCCTTTGGGACTGGGCCTTTGAAACTTTAGCAATGTTTACATAATCACTTCAAATTCCTTTATTTAAAAAAGAGGGAAATTTAGTTTTCCATGATATGGCCCTCCAAGCTTTATCCTGAACTGTATCTCCAAATGAGAACCTCTCTCAGACGTGCTGAAAGCTCGTGGGTACTAATTATCCTGATCTCGTGTGGATGAAGCTCACTGACCTCCTCTGGCTTTAATGAATAACTAGCTGCTCTGGGGTGTTTGGAGTGCAGTCTGTCTTTAACTGTGTCCGGTGGTCAGTACCTGCTCCTCCAGCCCCTTCACCCTCTGCCTGTGTGCTCTCTCTCGAGCAGCCAGTGTTCGCTCTGCTTCTCTCTGACTGGCTCTCAGTCGCTCCGCCTCCCGCTGGGCGTCGTCACGCTGACGGACAGACTGCTCACTCGCCGTGTGAGACGCTTCCAGCTCTGCAAGCTGAGCCTGGAACACACACACACACACACACACACACACACACACACACACACACCACACACACACACACACAGGATTATATATGTGTACATACCAATGCTTCACTTCCAGTCACAACAGCCAGTAAGTACTCTTAAAAAAAGACGGTTCTTCCAGGGTTCTTTAGTCAAGAAAACGGTCATTATTAGCACCATGAGCACTCAAAGAACCTTTTGCATGAATAAATGGTTCTTTGCATCATGAAATGGTTCTTCAGATTGATGGAGAATGCGCTATAGACGGTTCAATATAGAATATTTCTGGAAAAGGTTCCATATAGCACCCAAAATGGTTCCTCAGATTGATGAAAAATGTGCACTAATGTGCTACAGATGGTTGCTTCTTGAAAAGGGTTCTATATAGAACCCAAAAGTGATCTTCTATTTCTCCAAGCTTGACATTGTAACAATAGAAGAACCCTTTCGGGTGCTATATGGAACCCTTTTCAGAAATATGCTATATAGAACCATCCACAGCACACCGTCCATCAATCTGAAGAACACTTTTGAGTGCTATATAGAACCTCTATACATCTACAGCACAATTCCACCAATCTGAAAAACCCTTTTGGGTGCTATATAGAACCCTTTTCAGAAATATTCTGTATAGAACCATCTACAGCACGTTGTCCATCAATCTGAAGAACACTTTAGTGTGTTATATAGAACCCTTTTCAAAAATGGTTCTATACAGAACCATCTACAGTACACTGTCCATCAATCTGAAGAACGCTTTTGGGTGCTATACAGAACCCTTTTCAGGAAAATTCTATATAGAACCATCTATAGCACATTCTCCATCAATCCGAAGAACCACTACACCATGCGAAGAACCACTTAATCACGCAAAAGATCTTCGAGTGCTCTTGATATAGAATCATAGGCCAGTAACACACACACACACACACACAGACACACACACACACACACTCACACACACACACACACACACACACACACACACACACACTCACACACACACACACACACACACACACACACTTTCTCTGATGGATTAAGTCCAGTGTAAACAAACACAGCTGTGCAGAAAAAATCTAAACAACAGCGAAACATCAGCGTCAGCGCTCGAGCCTGCGGCGACGTACCCACCAAACACGAGCAGGCGCACGAGTCGCTGTGCTGAAGTGTCCCGAGACATAAAGAGCAGCTCACAGTGCTTCACTCTTCAAAACCAGCCAAGCTTCAGCTCAAACATCGCTGCCTCGTTTAAATGAGAAAACTGAGATCTGACCAGCGCCAGCGAGCGCACATTCCTGTCCAGCACAACTCCAGATTACATCTGGATTTTCCTTTTTCTCTGTTTATCCTTCCTGTCATTCGGAATGAACTGCATTTCAATTTTTTGAATGTGATGCAAACAACTTGTATGAGAGTGAATACAGGATCTCAAGATGTCCAGACCTGCCCTGAGATGGTTTACGATGGAAAATGAGACAAACAAACTTTTTATTCTCTGATACGGTTTGATTAATTAAATGCAAAAAATCCTTCCAAAGGTTTAGTTTAACATTAATCAGCTCTGTGCTTATACTTAAGCACGTTCATGTTCCAGTTTAAGCACGTTCATGTTCCAGTTTAAGCACGTTCACGTTCCAGTTTAAACACGTTCATGTTCCAGTTTAAGCATGTTCATGTTCCAGTTTAAGCATGTTCATGTTCCAGTTTAAGCACGTTCATGTTCCAGTTTAAGCACGTTCACGTTCCAGTTTAAACACGTTCATGTTCCAGTTTAAGCATGTTCATGTTCCAGTTTAAGCATGTTCATGTTCCAGTTTAAGCACGTCATGTTCCAGTTTAAGCACGTCATGTTCCAGTTTAAGCACGTTCATGTTCCAGTTTAAGCACGTTCACGTTCCAGTTTAAGCACGTTCACGTTCCAGTTTAAGCACGTTCATGTTCCAGTTTAAGCACGTCATGTTCCAGTTTAAGCAAGTTCATGTTCCAGTTTAAACACGTTTATGTTCCAGTTTAAGCACGTCATGTTCCAGTTTAAACACGCTTATGTTCCAGTTTAAGCACGTCATGTTCCAGTTTAAGCACGTTCATGTTCCAGTTTAAGCACGTTCATATTCCAGTTTAAGCACGTTCACGTTCCAGTTTAAGCATGTTCATGTTCCAGTTTAAGCGCGTTCATATTCCAGTTTAAGCACGTTCACGTTCCAGTTGAGGCATGTTCATGTTCCAGTTTAAGCACGTTCACGTTCCAGTTTAAGCACGTCATGTTCCAGTTTAAACACGTTTATGTTCCAGTTTAAGCACGTCATGTTCCAGTTTAAACACGTTTATGTTCCAGTTTAAACACGTTTATGTTCCAGTTTAAGCACGTCATGTTCCAGTTTAAGCACGTTCATGTTCCAGTTTAAGCACGTTCACGTTCCAGTTTAAGCATGTTCACGTTCCAGTTTAAACACGTTTATGTTCCAGTTTAAGCACGTCATGTTCCAGTTTAAGCACGTTCATGTTCCAGTTTAAGCATGTTCATGTTCCAGTTTAAACACGTTTATGTTCCAGTTTAAGCACGTTCATGTTCCAGTTTAAGCACGTCATGTTCCAGTTTAAACACGTTTATGTTCCAGTTTAAGCACGTCATGTTCCAGTTTAAGCACGTTCATGTTCCAGTTTAAGCATGTTCATGTTCCAGTTTAAGCGCGTTCATATTCCAGTTTAAGCACGTTCATATTCCAGTTTAAGCACGTTCACGTTCCAGTTTAAGCATGTTTATGTTCCAGTTTAAGCGCGTTCATATTCCAGTTTAAGCACGTTCACGTTCCAGTTGAGGCATGTTCATGTTCCAGTTTAAGCACGTTCACGTTCCAGTTTAAGCACATTAATGTTCCAGTTTAAGCACGTTAATGTTCCAGTTTAAGCACGTTCACGTTCCAGTTTAAGCACGTTCACGTTCCAGTTTAAGCACATTTATGTTCCAGTTTAAGCGCGTTCACGTTCCAGTTTAAGCGCGTTTATGTTCCAGTTTAAGCACGTTCACGTTCCAGTTTAAGCACGTTCACGTTCCAGTTTAAGCACATTTATGTTCCAGTTTAAGTGCGTTCACGTTCCAGTTTAAGCGCGTTTATGTTCCAGTTTAAGCACGTTCACGTTCCAGTTTAAGCACGTTCACGTTCCAGTTTAAGCACATTTATGTTCCAGTTTAAGCGCGTTCACGTTCCAGTTTAAGCGCGTTTATGTTCCAGTTTAAGCACGTTCACGTTCCAGTTTAAGCACGTTCACGTTCCAGTTTAAGCACATTTATGTTCCAGTTTAAGCGCGTTCACGTTCCAGTTTAAGCGCGTTTATGTTCCAGTTTAAGCACGTTCACGTTCCAGTTTAAGCACATTTATGTTCCAGTTTAAGCACGTTCACGTTCCAGTTTAAGCACGTTCACGTTCCAGTTTAAGCACATTTATGTTCCAGTTTAAGCGCGTTCACGTTCCAGTTTAAGCGCGTTTATGTTCCAGTTTAAGCGCGTTCACGTTCCAGTTTAAGCGCGTTCACGTTCCAGTTTAAGCGCGTTCACGTTCCAGTTTAAGCGCGTTCACGTTCCAGTTTAAGCACGTTCACGTTCCAGTTTAAGCACGTTCACGTTCCAGTTTTAGCACATTTATGTTCCAGTTTAAGCGCGTTCACGTTCCAGTTTAAGCGCGTTTATGTTCCAGTTTAAGCACGTTCACGTTCCAGTTTAAGCACGTTCACGTTCCAGTTTAAGCACATTTATGTTCCAGTTTAAGCGCGTTTATGTTCCAGTTTAAGCGCGTTCACGTTCCAGTTTAAGCGCGTTCACGTTCCAGTTTAAGCGCGTTCACGTTCCAGTTTAAGCACGTTCACGTTCCAGTTTAAGCACGTTCACGTTCCAGTTTAAGCACGTTCACGTTCCAGTTTTAGCACATTTATGTTCCAGTTTAAGCGCGTTCACGTTCCAGTTTAAGCGCGTTTATGTTCCAGTTTAAGCACGTTCACGTTCCAGTTTAAGCACGTTCACGTTCCAGTTTAAGCACATTTATGTTCCAGTTTAAGCGCGTTCACGTTCCAGTTTAAGCGCGTTTATGTTCCAGTTTAAGCACGTTCACGTTCCAGTTTAAGCACATTTATGTTCCAGTTTAAGCGCGTTCACGTTCCAGTTTAAGCGCGTTTATGTTCCAGTTTAAGCACGTTCACGTTCCAGTTTAAGCACGTTCATGTTCCAGTTTAAGCATGTTCACGTTCCAGTTTAAGCACGTTCACGTTCCAGTTTAAGCACGTTCACGTTCCAGTTTAAGCACATTTATGTTCCAGTTTAAGCGCGTTCACGTTCCAGTTTAAACGCGATCATGTTCCAGTTTAAGCACGTTCACGTTCCAGTTTAAGCACATTTATGTTCCAGTTTAAGCGCGTTCACGTTCCAGTTTAAACGCGATCATGTTCCAGTTTAAGTGCGTTCACGTTCCAGTTTTCTTTTCCAAACTGCTTTTAAAAGCACATTTTGGCCTCTTTTCCACTGCAGGGCCGAACGGTTCTGAGCACAGGGGGGAACCGTTCCAATGTCGTTTCCATACGGACACAGTTTGACACGGAACGCCCGTTTTTTTGGCACGGTTAGCTAACCGTACTCGGGGCCACAGAACCATTTGGTGGGATGGCGTAACGCCGTAGCTATTCGCTGGAGCTGGAGCCTCCTAGCTAAGCTAACGCTAGCTTCCCCTCTCCTAGTTAACTTAGCATAGCTGAAGAGACCCAAACACCCCAGTGCAGGTCCGATTCGACTAACTGCTCTGATATCACAGGTATAGATGATAAAAACAGCGAGAGCAAAGTCGACTGATCGGTGTTGGAGTGACAGAAAGCCGAAATTGGACCGGTTCTGTAGTGCTTTGAGCTCCAGCCTGCTAGGCTAAGCTAAAGCGAGTGCACAGTGCCTCCCACTGAGGTACAGGCTCGGTTCTAGCAATCCTATGATTAAAAACACCCATTTAG